AAAACCAATATAAGATATTCCAGAAAATTACTTTTAAGTAATTTTTCAGTTAAGGATAATTAAATATCTCAACTGTCAAAAGAATATCCATTTCTAAAAATTCACGTTACTATGATCATATTTGTTTTTGCTATTTTTTGCTAATCAATACAAAATATAGCTTTTTTTTCTTTTTGGGAGTCTTTCATTTCCTGATGAAATTAAACACCAAAAATCTTTCAAACTAAAATATAAATTTTCAGATTATAAATGAGATTTAAAATGAGACTGGATAAACAAAATGAAAATGTTAACTAAGCAACATTACTGAGACTTTATATATGGCTTATCCTCTTTATTGGCAATCAATTATTGAGATATTTGTGTGTATGATACTAACTACAAAACAGCCATGTCCATCAAAAGGCCTATCTAGTTGGGTAAACAGTTAACTAAATAAAACAAGGTAGGATATATGCAGCACCTAATGAGGAATTTATAGTTCAGAAGAAGGAAAATATTGGGAAGAAAAAGGGACAAACTAGAAAGCAGAAATAGAAAAGCAGATGATGATGGCAGGGTATTTCAAACATAAAGCAGCAATGAATAAAAGCATAAAAGTGGATATGACAAATTCAGTTCATGAAACAAAAACCTGCATAGTTGAGAAGGGGAAAGCTCAAATAGGTGAGCCCTTTAAAGCCTAGTTAAGCAGTTTGCTCATTTTCTATATACACAGTCAACGGGAAGCTACTGAAGGTTTGGGACTTCTTATACTTGAAAAACATTATCATATGTACTGTATAGTTTAAGTAACATGTATGGCTAAAATCCCTTTTTTTTTTTTGAGATAGAGGTCTCACTCTGTCACCCAGATTGGAGTGCAATGGTATGATCTCGGCTCACTGTAACCTCCGCCTCCCAGGTTCAAGTGATTCTCCTGCTTCAGCCTCCCAAGTAGCTGGGACTACAGGCTCGTGACACCACATCCGGCTAATTTTTTTGTATTTTGTTTTAGTAGATATGAGGTTTCACTGTGTCAGCCAGGATGGTCTCGATCTCCTGATCTCATGATCTGCCCAACTCAGCCTCCCAAAGTGCTGGGATTAGTCATGAGCCACCGCGCCCAGCGCATGGCTAAAATCATTAACCTTATGTCACCATGATGTCTGCAGGAAAACATTATCTTTAATTTTACACATTAAAGAATTTTCTTACAATTATCTTGCTGTTATTTTTATTTTATTTTATTTTATTTATTTAATTTTTAGAGAAGTTCTCACTCTGTCACCCAGGCTGGAGCGCAATGGTGCGATCTCAGCTCACCACAACTTCTGCCTCCTAGGTACAAGCGATTCTCCTGCTTCAGCCTCCTGAGTAGCTGGGACTACAGCATGTGCCACCACCACTACCACCACCACGCCTGGCTAATTTCCAAATTTTTTGTTAGAGACGGGATTTCCCCATGTTGGTCAGGCTGGTCTCAAACTCCTTACCTCAAATGATCCACCTGCTTCAGCCTCCCAAAGTGTTGGGAGTACAGGCATGAGCCACCACCCCCAACCTATCCTTGCTTTTATTTTTCACCATGAAACTTCACAATATAAAATATGTATAATGAGTTATTTTCTAATATTTTATATTCAAATAAACATATGCTTAAAAACCTACAACTTGTATGAGAAACAATATGAAATAGTGACTAAGAGCTCCAACTACAGAATCACCTAGTTGAAAAACCAGCACCAACTGCATGATTTTGAACAACCCAAGGCTCAGTTTTTTCATATGATTGCTGTATTAACAGAGAAATGCATCCAGGCATGGTGGCTGTAACCTGTAATCCCAGCACTTTGGGAAGCTGAAGCTGGAGGATCATTTGAAGTCAGGAGTTTGAGACCAGCCTGGCCAACATGGTGAAAACCCGTCTGTACTAAAAATATAAAAATTAGCTGGGTGTGGTGGTAGGCACCTACAAACCCAGCTACTTGGGAGGCTGAGGCAGGAGAATCACTTGAACTTGGGAGGCAGAGGTTGCAGTGAGCCCAGTATCAGGTCACTGCATTCCACCCTGGGCAAGAGTGAGACTCTGTCTCAAAAAAAAAATAAAAAAGAAATGCAAGTGCAAATGCCTGGCATATAGTAAAGACTCAACAAATGTTGGCTATAATTATTAAAGAGAATCCAGAAGCTCATACAGGAGTGTAGTGGCATGATCATCAAAGCTCACTGGGCTTACACAATCCTCCCACCTCAGCTTCCAAAGTAGCTAGGGCTACAGGTGCATGCTACCATGACAAACTAGTTTTTTAATTTTTGGGAGAAAACAGGGTCTCGCTATGTTGCCCAGACTGGTCTCAAACACCTCGCCTCAAGAGATTCTCCCACCTTGGCCTTCCAAAGTGCTGGGGTTGCAGGCGTGAGCCACTGCACCAGACCTAAAATGTGTATTCTCATTTTGAGGAAAGCCTCAAACACTGGATACTATTAATTACTCAATTTGTCTCCTTGTTACTCAGTATCTTTTCTCTTTTGAAATATATTTTCCCGCCGGGCGCGGTGGCTCAAGCCTGTAATCCCAGCACTTTGGGAGGCCGAGGCGGGTGGATCACGAGGTCAAGAGATCGAGACCATCCTGGTCAACATG